ATAATGGTACGATCAGATGGGGATGTTTTAGGCTATTGATGCGAGTCACTTACAAGCGTCATCTGGTCCTGATAGTACAGCGACTGCTTGCACCTACATGTTTAGTTAACATATGACCCTTACACGTGTTTTTGGTCTTGACAGTACCGATATGGCTTGCCAGAGTTGAGAGGCCCAATGTTCAGAATCTGTAAGACGGACGACGAAACCGAAAGCGGTTATTAGACTACGTTTTACGTTGCGAGAATGGGCTAGAATAGACTTCCATGAGAGCCACAATGGTTCCACCGAAAAAGGCCCGGCTACCTGTCTGCAGTAATAAACAGACATACAACGTGTAATATCAGTTGTGAAAACTCCTATGCCCATTTCATCATGGACTTCATAGCAATGCTTCACGTGTTTTTTGTCATTTGGGGATTGGCAAACATTAAATTCTATTGTCGAAAAAAGTAATGTCACGTTCTTAAATTACACTAAGTAAAGTTTGTAGATAGTAAGAGTTTCTTGTGACGAAACACTTGCAGTTCGAGTTTGTCGTGGGGCGTAGCAAGTCTAGTTGAGTCTCTTACGATATTCTTCAACTGGAGTTCGCCTACTTGATGAGATCCATTAACGATGATACCGGTCATGGGCCGTTGAAGTTTTCAGTAAACTTATGAGTAGCTTCCTTCGTGGAAATATACATCGATTTCTAGAATATCGTACTAAATGAAGCATGAGACGGCCTTTTGCAACACATCCTGCTGAAGAATATTTCCTGTTAACAACGATTAGCTGTGTAAATGAGTGTATTTCGCAAACTCCCCACAATTCGGATTCAAGCAGACCATCAAGTAGACAGGTACAAGGCAACCTCAACTACCTGATGAGCCCTTAAAAGGGAACAACCGGTCGTCGGTTGTCGGAGGACCACATTTCGAAGGTAATTTCGGTAACAAAGTATGGGAGAGCATTTCAGGACGCAAGCATGTCGTATGAGAGAGTGGGCCGTGACAAGGAGTCTTAACATGGACTACTGATGAGCAAATTTGCATCAGCTGCAACAGCTGCAACTTCTATCGGTTTCGCACACCATCCACATTAAACAGGCGATGAGTGACGGTTTGCTTGAGGAACAGTATTCTTCGAGCCTTGGAGCCGGATATACAGTGAATCACATCTACCGTCGGATGGAAGCAATCGTATTTGAGATATTTCCTTGGAGAAAACCGCTCTGTCGCTGGCACTTGGACAACAGAAAAATGGGTTTACTCCAACTTCACGATGAAATCCTAATTAAAATTCACATAAAACCCCCATTCCAAACGAAGAAAATGTAAGCTGTTGGGGAAAAGATCTCACGAGTAACACAATCCTTGTGTCCGAAAAACTGTTTCCTGAGGCCAGGCACATCAACCTGGATAGCGTGTTGGATGGATGCGCTATATGTGTGCGAGGCAGTATCCCTAGAACAATACCCGCCTTCAGAAAAAAATCATAGCCGCAACCAAGTAGAGGTTAGTTAGGTGAGAAACTGTTTGCTGTTATGGGTAAACGTAGCCAGGTTTTGTGAAGGCCAGGTATGCTACTTTACATTATATATATATATATATATATATATATATATATATGGGAGTGCTTCTATTTCTTGTCACTTAATCCTAGGCAGTATAAAAATTTGTCCCGTTGATCTCCGTTCCTTGAATGATGGTCTGAAATACCTGTCCCACAGCTCCTCTCCCGCTTTTTTTACCATCACCATCACCACGGTAAATGCTACGCTGAACTCGCTTCTTCGTCCGATCGCTACAACCATACTGTTGCCAAGCCCACCCAAAGCTCCTCACTTCACCAAAACCAAACTTCATCCTCCGTTTGCCAGAAAGAACTACTTCCATCCGTGTATTTCTCTAGGATTACTCCTATTTGAAATGATCTTCCAATTTCTCTCCAAATTCTTATGACCTTTATGTCTCAGTTTGAAGTTCATCTGCCTAAACAATCATGACAACTGTGATAGATCTACAGGTTAACTTATTTTACACGTCAGAGGGAACCACCTAGTAGACAAAACTATGAAAAACTGTCAACCTCAACCGATTAAGTAGGAAGGAATTTGCGTAATTTGGTAAGATAGTACAGCGTACGACGTCACCTGCCAACACCACCTTTGCGACACCACAAAAGCTAACAACTGAATGCAGCTACAGAGGGAACAACGGCAACATTACGAAAGAATAACCAGAACTTACCTTTCTACCTCTCTTGCAATCAAACCGTATGCAACGTAGGACACACCAGCGCATCCGTAGTCGGGTATGAAGGACCCTAACAAACCCAACTCTCCGAATTCCTTTAAAATGTGTCGATCAAACACTTAAGGGAATGTGGCGAATCAAGATAGAAAGCCAAAATTAGGAAGAACTACCTTCCAAACGATTTGCAAGCAACACCCTCGGGAAGAGTTTCTCTTGACAAAACGAGCGACATTGGTCGCGAATGATGTGCTCTTGTTCAGATAGACCATCGTCCAAGTTTAGTGCATCCTGCCATCTGAATACAGCTATCCAAGTTCACATTTTGCTCCTAGCAAAAAGTGTTACCTTCTCCATGGGATTTCGAAAGATATCGGAAAATCTTCTGCGGAAAAGAATGAATGTGTTTTGTTCTCCATAGATGAAAAGACATCTTAAAGGAAACGGAAGAAGCTGAAACAACAAAAATGTGTTACGCCAAGCGGACATGATACAGATGAAAACTCGAAGGTTACCAGTCACTGTGTGATGATCGTAGAACGGGCAAAATATTCTCTGATGGAAGGTTGTAAAAGGTACCATAAAAAGCCGGGAGCTGAGGTGAAGTGAAGCATTACAGAATACAAGTCCAAATCTACATACACCGTTGAAATCTGCTTCAGAAACGCGGCGGAACGAAGTAATCGGTCACTGTCATGAATATTCTTTGTGCTCAC